TTGTACGGCTCCCTGCTCTGGTGGCCTTGCATTAGAACTAAGACAACTAAGGCCAAATTCAATAAAATTCAGAGTTTGGCCTGTATTAGTATTACAAGCGCAGTGCGAACAACGTCTTTGAGTGCAATGAAAGCTCTGTTGGATCTCCCTCCGTTGAATCTGGTGGGTGATCTGCGGTGAAGCGAGAGTAGTCGCTCATCGAGGGAGGGAGGGCAGCTGGGCTTTCTTGAATCCTGTCAAGGGACATACTGCCATCTTAGTCGAATTACTAAGGGAGGACCCCGTCCTTCTAAGCAGAGGCGTTCGTATTACCCCTAAATATCGCTTCAATCGCAAGTTTATTGTGGAGTATCCAACGAGGAAGGAGTGGGACGCCGGTAGCCGGGGACTCTCCGGAGTGAGCGGGCAGGTCTGGTACACGGACGGCTCGGTCATCGAAGAGGGCTCATGTGCTGGGGTCTCTGGGCCTAGAACTAGGCTATCTCTGCCTCTCGGTGGATACACCACCATTTTCCAGGCGGAAATCTTTGCGATTCTGGCTTGTGTATCTCACATTCTGGAGGAGGGTGGGCCTAGGAGAAGAATAACAATCTTATCCTACAGCCAGGCTGCAATAAAAGCACCAAGTGCCTGTAAGATTACTTCGAGTCTTTTATTGCAATGCAGGGAGGCTCTGGATTGCCTCGCAGCGAGGCATCCGGTATCGTTAATATGGGTACCGGGGCACGCTGGGATAAGGGGCAATGAGACGGCGGATACTCTGGCGAAGACAGGATCAGCCAGCAAGCTCGTTGGTCCTGAGCCAGCTCTAGGAGTGACCGCGCATAAAGCTAGGAGGAAAATGGATACGTGGGTTGCAAGACAACACTCCCAGAAATGGAGAAGTATCTCCAGACATCTCCTCCAGGCACGAGAACTCATTGAAGGGCCCAGTGCTCAGGATAGACGCTTATGCCTATCTCTGGATAGAGCCAACCTAAGGTTGCTGGTGGGACTGCTGTCTGGCCATAACACGTTAAGGCGTCACCTGCACGTGATGGGGGTGGCTGAGGATCCCTTGTGTGAACGCTGCGGAGTAGAGGAAGAGACCTCGGCGCATGTTTTGTGTCGCTGTGAAGCTCTGAGCTACTATAGGCAGACTATACTGGGGTCCATTACTTTGGACCCTCAGGACGGCAAGGAGCTTGGACTCAAGGCGATTCTCAACTTCACTAAAAGGGCTAGGATTGTGATCTAAGGATTGTAGAGGTGCCTAAGGGCCCGCTTAAGCGGCCTATGCACTGGCTCCTTATGGTAGCCGGAATGCCTCTAATTTCAACAGTCATCCATTCAAGCCAGGCAAGGACCGGAAGTTGCCTCAGAACTACCGGCCCATCAGCCTGGTTTCCTTGATGGGCAAAGTAGTCGAAAAGTTTTACGACTAGAGAAGCAGGCAGATCAACTGGAACTTCTCCCCCCAGAGCAATTCGGCTTCAGATCCTCCCACAACACGCAACTCCAAGCGCTACGACTGACTGAAAACATCACCAGTGGCTTCAATCTCCAGGAGGCAACCGGCCTCGTCCTGCTGGACGTGGAACGAGCCTTCGACCGAGTTTGGTACGATGGACTCATCGCCAAAATGGAAGCTGCCGGAATCGATGCAAACATGTGCCAACTGAGGGGGTCACCCTTAGCCCCCTGCTCTACAACATCTACACTCACGACGTACCGAAGACAGCTGACACAATGTTGGCCCTATATGCAGACGACACTGCTATAGCCGCCAAGCATCGACGACCGGAGTTTATCCGTAGGAGACTACAGGGTGAACTGGACCACATGCAGGACTGATGCGTGAAATGGAAAATCCGCATCAACGTCCAGAAGACGCAGGCAATCTTCATCCAACGAAGAAGGATTGCAAGACCTCCCGAAGCATTCATCTTCGACGAAGATATCCAGTGGAGCGACAAAGTCAAATATCTGGGGATCGTATTTGACAAGTCCCTCACCTGGAAAGATCACATAGAAGCTGTCATCGCAAAGACCAAAGCAGCCATGGCCCAACTCTACGCATTACTGGGTAGACACAGCCGGATTCCGCTAGCAACCAAGCTACGGCTGATCAAGGCCATCGCCAGACCTCAGCTCGCTCACGCCTCCGCGGTCTGGGGGTACGCTGCTCCCAGCCACCGCAAGCGACTTGGTGCTCTAGAGATGAAGCTACTCCGTATCGCCACCAGTGCACCATCCTACGTAAGAAACTCAACCTCGCGTAGAGACCTGCATTGCGACACCATTCACGAGTACATGAGGAAAAAAGCGGAGAAGACCTTCCAGAAAGCTCAGGACCACCCGAACGAGCAGCTACGACTCCTCATGGACTACGATCCGGACGAGAGGCCTCGCAACCGCAGAACCAAGTACCCTAGACCCAAGTCCCAGTTGGCATCCGCTAACTGGAACCTTGACTAGGAGACTAGGAGAACCCGCGGTTGCTCAACCCCCCCGCCTCACGGCGTGGAAGCAGAGGACGAGGACCAGGATGACCAGGACCAAAACCCATCAGGTCCAGCAACCACCAGGACCAGGACTCATCAGGACCAGGACCAACCAAGACCAGGACCCATCAGGACCAGGACCAACCAGGACCAGGACCCATCAGGACCAGGTAACATACAAGTAGTAGAGGACTTGAAACTCTTGATTTTTCGAAAACAAGCGTTTCAAGAGAACATAGCAAACCCTATATCGATGCTCGCTTAATAACATTGATAGAACTGTGCGAGGTAAAGGGAACCAACCCGGCTTTCCCAGAGACTGAAACACATGAGGAGACGTGTCACGCACAACACATGGCCTACCGAGACGCTGATGAGTCGGGCCACGCGGAGATTAGGCTTTAGTGGGTATTAGGTGGTCTAATCAAGACAACCTGGAGTCCCACACACGCCGTAGCTCGTGCTATGGTATGGTGCATAAACGCATCCCCCCTCACCAAAAAAGAAAAAGACCTAATTCAAACAGGTATTAGTGACTGCTCTTAGTGAGATTCAACTATGTTACACCGCATAATGGGAAGAATAACTGTGCAAGTGAAGCGAGTATATCCCAGTAAAAAAGGAGCAGAATAAGGCACAAGAAAGGGCATCAAATTGTAAATATATTGTAATTATATTCATCACAGGCCCAATAAGAGATTAGTAAAATATTAAGCTTGTGGAAACGAAATAGTCGAAACTGCATTCCTTCTAGATTCGTCATTGCATTATTCTTTTCCTCAAAACAAATTTGACCATTCAACATCTGTTAAGATGACTCTTTCAGTATTTTTTATGTTTTCATTCACGTACTTATCCGTCATGGAAAAACAATTTTTTGATTTACAATAAATTCTAGTGAAAATAACGTGTTTTTTTAACCTCGTCTACCTCATCTCCAAAATTAATATTGATGGTGAATAAATTTAGTAACTAACTGAATCTCAGTTAACGTCCAAATAATGAATACAAGAAATGGAGGCAAGTACTTAGTACTTCTCATCCCGTTTTTATATAATTATCAGATTATTGACTCATAGATGTGGGATTTTTCAAAGGTTTTGATAACGCTGCAGAGGGAAAATACGAGATCAAAGTGAAAAATTTGAAGATAACGTCAGGCCTTAATTTTTCTAAATATTGTGCTCTTTATCAAATAGATATTTATCGACAGCAAATGATCGCCGTCACTTGTTGTGTCTCTAGGACCGCTATTCTGGGTTGAAAAAGAGAAACCCAATATTGCCGGTGCGAATGACTATGAGCTGCGATTACCATTAGTAATAGATACCCACCACCCACGAGCATGCTTTGAACGGGGATGCTGCGGTGTCGACTAATGAGCCTAAAACAAGTTGTCACAAGAATAAATCCACGAATCACAACTTAAGCATTATAAACAAGTCAATGATTAGGTGAAACAATGATACATAATTTCAGTGGCGTATCTAGAAGTTGTGTTGGGCTGGGGCCTATTGGTATTCAATATATGTTACACAAGAATTTTCCTACATCATATCGTTCGTATTTCAAATAATTCCTTGACTTGTATAGTCACTTGAAGTTCAAACTAATATGGTGATGGTGAAACCAATTTGAATTTTATTATCGTTGATCCCTTTTTGTATAATTGATATCTTTGGTGGGTTTTGTGGAAGAATAATGTGACTTTATTTCGTGCTTTGAATACCAGAGCATAGCTACATTCCTCGATTTTTTTTGTTAAATGCTCTATAGGAAACATGATGTGTACATTTTTGAATTCGCTAACCTTGTCTGCAGGCGAGGCATCTCTTAAGCCGGGTCCACATCAATAAAAATTTGTGTTGTATTTGACAAAAATATTTTCGTGTGCGCCGAATTGTTGTTGATGTGGACTGTGCGCCGCAAGCAAATGTGCGAAAATTATTTCGTGGGGTACAACGCACAGGATCCGTTGGCCCGGCGGTTTTTTCAGAACTTCAAAGAGATGTGTGCCGCACAGTCGTGTAAAGCTGGATCCACAACAATAAAAATTTGTGATGTGCGTTGAATGTTGAATTCAAGATAAATATTTGCGGCGCAAAAATTAGTTTTGTTTTTTTTACCACATAATTTTTTTTCTGTATGTTGTGTCAGCCGAATCTACGTGCGTCGAATGACTGTGTGCCGGAAAATCTCGAGGAAGCGTTAATTTAGCATTTTGTAATTTAATTAATTATTAACATAAATAAAATATGGAGTGGAGTAATGAGGGGGCATTGCACCTCATCAAAGAATATATGAAGCATGACTTATTATGGAATCCAAAGCACCCTAAGCATTTCAATAAAATCAAAAAAGGTGATGCATGGGACAAAATAGCTGAAGCATGTGGTACTGAAGTGGAAGAGGTGAAAAAAATGTCCAGCTTACTGGTATCGTTTAGAAGGGAAAAAGCCAATGGCCAAAAGACTATCGGATTAGGAACTGGTAAATTAGACGAAAAAAATTAATACTCATACAAATTTTATTGACATGTTTTTGTATTACAGGCGCAAAAGAAGTGTATAAAATAAGTTGGTTTGCGTTCAAAAGTTTTGAGTTTTTAATGGATCGGGATGATCCAACGACATCTCTGAACACGGAAACCATAACGGTAAGCAATTTTTTTACTGATCTTGACACACTATTATGCGAACTCTGATTGCCAGGAAACAGCTCCATTTGTAACAAAGTGGATTTCTTTTGCGACAAGTGACGATCTGCGGGGCACAGTTTTTAAGGGTAGGAAAGATGTTAATGTATCGTCCTGTGTTAAAATGTCATCTATCCCTACATTTTCTGATGTCAAGTCTGAATTGTAACTTTGAGAATTTCTGCTATTTCGCAAAAAAATATGCAAATGCACTATTGCCATGACCACTAATTCTGCCTTTGGTGGTTCTAATAGCAATGGTTTTCTTAACACTCGAAAAATGGACGAAATAATACCGAAAACATTTTCCACTACTCAGCGTGCTCTGCTAAGCCGGTAATTAGATGTCCTTTCCTTAGACCCTTTTGAATATAGCCCCGCAAACGGTGTTTAGTAAGTGGAAAGGCGTCGTCAGCTACAAATACATAGGACACTTGTTTTTGTCTGTTTGGAAAAGGTTTAGCAGAGGGCAAACCCAAGGGGTTATTTTGCATCTTGTGATGAATTACGGTGTTTTTAAAAACGCCTCCATCGGAAATCCTTCCTTGAACGCCTACGTCAGCAAAAATGAAATTATAATCCGCATCGACTACTGCTTACAACACAATACTCAAAAAGCCTTTGTAGTTGAAAAGTCGTCACTGCCACTACATTTAGGTGATTGCAGTATAATATGTTTCCCGTCCATAGAGCCAACGCAGTTAGGGAAATTCCAAAGCCTTATAAATTTATCGGCAACAGCTAACCATTCTTCTCCCGATGACGGAATCTAAAAAAAAAACAGCAAATAACAACAACACTTCCATATCACTTTAGAAACTAGCATTATTATTATTATTATTATTATTGTATTATTATTTTAGGATGAAATTACTGAAGCAGGATGATGCTGAAAATCTCGCAGATTCTCAAAACAATTCGGAAACTGATGACATTATAGAAGAAGAAACAAATATGGAACATTCCTCCATTACACCAGAAAGTAATAGAGATGACACATAGGGACCATCAATCAGTGCAAGAGAAGAAAGTCCCATTTTTTGTTGGCTACCATGTCACTTGTTTTAAAAAGGAAATATGCACTGTTTATAATTCTCACAGATTATCTTCGCCGGAAAAAGAGATTAAATAAAATTAAAAATAAAAGACGCTACTGGACAACGCAGATTTTTCTTCATAGAAGACAAGTTGTGCCTGAAGTCTGCAATGCGCTTATTGAGGCTCTCAAAGATAATGTGAAGGTAAGTACCTATCTATATATTGCATTATCGGTGATTGGAACTTAATAATTATACTGTGTAAAAATTAGTAAACTTAAACATCATCATAGTTCAATCACTTTAATCTTAATTTATTTATTTATTAAAACAGAAAAACCCAAAAATAAACATACGATTTCAACATAGGGTGAAACATACAAGTAAGTATTAGCTAAATTAACTTATTCTAGAAAAATATTTTTAACCTAATAAATAATTTTTATCGTACTTAGTACCTAATTTGGAAGGAAAATTTCAATAAAAAAACTACAAGTCAAAAGTAACTTAAAGAGTATAAAACAAAAGATTATTAATTATAATACTGCAAAAACAACATTATTCTTAAAAACAAAAGTAACATACGTTTTTTTCAAACGGGGCACCCTATTAATCCGTTTTTGATATATCGACTTAAAAAAATTACAACTTAATATACGAATGTAGCTCGGCAAGCAGGTCATCTTGTGGAACATTATTTTTTTGAATTGAAGGCGCATGAGCTTCAGATGATGGAAGGTTTTCATGTTCTTGTGATACTGTCTTCCATGACTGTACATAATCAGATTTCACAAATAGAGGAGAACGCTGTGAAGAGTTTGGAGATGAAGGCGAAATACGAGGTGGTGTGACGGTTGTTGAAGGTGGAATCAGGTTTAGGCTATGAGAATAATATGAGCTTGTATTTTGCATCGTTGTAGATAGAGGAGAATCCTGTGAATAATAAGAAGATGAAGGCGAAGTAAGAGGTACTGCGACGGTTGTTGGAGATGGGATCAAGTTTGGATAGAGAGAACATAAGCTCGACATTTGTACCGCTGGAGTGTCATAATATCCCATTTTGGCTTCAAAAATAACTTTATTAATAGCATGTTCGACCAGTGTTCGGGTTCTTTCTTGAATTTTTTTTAATTTGTTTTCCACATGATGAGCATAAATCAGTTTTGGATCATTAGGTTGCTGAAGAAATTACATTGTCCTTTCTAGAAGCGGATCTTCAGTTTGATTTACTTGTTTATGAGCTCTTTTGCGTTTCGGTGTAGAAGGTTTTGTAAATTTGTTTACCTTGGGACTTTCTTCTCTTGCACTGATTGATGGTCCCTGTGTGTCATCTTTATTACTTTCTGGTGTAATGGAGGAATGTTCCATATTTGTTTCTTCTTCTATAATGTCATCAGTTTGCGAATTGTTTTGAGAATCTGCGAGATTTTCAGCATCATCCTGCTTCAGTAATTTCATCCTAAAATAATATAATAATAATAATAATAATAATAATAATGCTAATTTCTAAAGTGGTATGGAAGTGTTGTTGTTATTTGCTGTTTTTTTTTTCGATCCCGTCATCGGGAGAAGAATGGGTAGCTGTTGCCGAGACATTTGAAAGGCTTTGGAATTTCACTAACTGCGTTGGCTCTATGGACGGGAAACATATTATACTGCAATCACCTAAATGTAGTGGCAGTGACGACTTTTTCAACTACAAAAGCTTTTTTAGTATTGTGTTGTATGCAGTAGTCGATGCGGATTATAATTTCATTTTTGCTGACGTAGGCGTTCAAGGAAGGATTTCCGATGGAGGCGTTTTTAAAAACACCGTAATTCATCACAAGATGCAAAATAACCGTTTGGGTTTGCCCTCTGCTAAACCTTTGCGAAACAGACAAAAAGAAGTGCCCTATGTATATATTTGTAGCTGATGAGGCCTTTCCACTTACTGAACACCGTTTGCGGGGCTAAATTCAAAAGGATCTAAGGAAAGGACATTTAATTACCGGCTTAGCAGAGCACGCAGAGTAGTGGAAAACGTTTTCGGTATTATTTCGTCTATTTTTCGAGTGTTAAGAAAACCATTGCTATTAGAACCACCAAAGGCAGAAGTAGTGGTCAAGGCAATAGTGCATTTGCATAATTTTTTGCGAAAGAGCAGAAATTCTCAAAGTTACAATTCAGACTTGACATCAGAAAATGTAGGGATAGATGACATTTTAACACAGGACGATACATTAACATCTTTCCTACCCTTAAAAACTGTGCCCCGCAGATCGTCACTTGTCGCAAAAGAAATGCGGGAAGAGTTGTCAGATACTTTGTTACAAATGGAGCTGTTTCCTGGCAATCAGAGTTCGCATAATATTGTGTCAAGATCAGTAAAAAAATTGCTTACCGATATGGTTTCCATGTTCAGAGATGTCCTTGGGTCATCCCAATCCATTAAAAACGCAAAACTTTTGAACGCAAATCAACTTGTTTTATACACCTCTTTTGCACCTGTAATAAAAAAAAACATGTCAATAAAATTTGTATGAATATTAATTTTTTTCGTCTAATTTACCAGTTCCTGTTCCGATAGTCTTTTTGCCCTTGACTTTTTCCCTTCTAAACGATCCCAGTAAGCTGGACATTTTTTTCTTCACCTCTTCCACTTCAGTAGCACATGCTTCAGCTATTTTGGCCCATGTCTCACCTTTTTTGATTTTATTGAAATGCTGAGGGTGCTTTGGATTCCATAATAAGTCATGCTTCATATATTCTTGGATGAGGTGCAATGCCCCCTCATTACTCCACTCCATATTTTATTTATATTAATAATTAATTAAATTACAAAATACTAAATTAAAGCTTCCTCGAGATTTTCCGGCACACAGTCATTCGACGCACGTGGATTCAGCCGACACAACACACAAAAAAAAATATGTGCTAAAAAAAACTAATGTTTGCGCCGCAAATATTTATCTTGAATTCAACATTCAACGCACGTCACAAATTGTTATTGATATGGATCCAGCTTTAGAACTGACAAAGTCGGAGCGCGAGCATCCTGCCGCATTCAAGGAGATAATGCGCTTGCAGTGGCGTGCAACGTGTCCCGTTGACTAATGTTGGTTTTCATGTATGTTATGATCCATCATAAAAAATGTGTACAGTACAACCCTTCTACTTTATTTCTTTAAAGGGCCAAGTTAGCAAGACAAAATGCAAGGTAGTGAAATTGATGCCCGGCCAATATATTTCTATATAAAAGAATCAAAAAATTTTATGATAGCGGCAGGACCATTGCAGACTCACTGTGGTTGAAATACGTGTACTGCTTAACATACTTCATAAGTTGCACTACAGCTGAAGTTTTACATAAGTGCCTTTTCTGGATCCAAACTAATTATCGCTAACCAAGCCATTGATTTCGAAACAAGACGTGAAATATAGGCAAGATAGTAATAGGGCGATATTTGTCAAGTTCTCACATGTCACTCGTTGTATGTTACTAATAGAAACAAACCGCTTATGTCTCTAACGTATACGGACATGACGCTCAACAGTAACGAACAAAAGATGCGGAAGCGAATACATGAATGTAATTTGACAGTTTGTCAACTGTTGTCACTGTGGTGAAAGACGAGATGGAAGTCCAAAGTAAAATTATTCACCAGAAAGAAAGACATACAATGACGTCAGGTATTATTGAGACAAGCACCAAATCTTGATTAACTCTTTGTTGCTTTAATTACCTTCCTTTATGAGTAGTAAAGACATTTCAATGTTAGTTTGGCGTTTCTGAAGCTTATATGTTAACTTGTGAAGGTATCAAAGTCTGGTGTGAACTTAGTGTTCGGCTAAGACAAAATGATTCAATTTGTGCGCTCCCGTACACGCATTCCTCTTGGTATTCTGTCATCGATTATATCCGGCAAAATACAATCGATGTGAAAAGAGGTAAGCTTAGGCACCATCAACTCACGCCAAACCTGTTGATCCTTATATATCATTTCTATGCTGAAATCACTATCGCAGTAAAGGATAACGTCGCAAAAATGCAGCCAGTAATATTTAGCTGCCCCTGTATTTGAAAATAATAATTATGATTTCTTTTCAAGGAAATCTGATTATTTTCGGCAGAGTAGCACTACAGAAGGCAAACATTTTATTTCTATAAGGCCTTCTGTGCCTACGAGACCATCCGGAGAAGCTGTCAAAAAAAGGATATTTTTAACATATAAAAAGTCCGCACTGCTCAACGGATAATACCATCTGTTCTTTATACCAACTCCTCGCAGTAGCCTCATGTACCCTGCCATATAGGATAGAGATACTCTAGCCTTATACTCCTCCACAAAACGTTGATGTGTTGGCCTCTCGTAGAGGACGTATTTCACCTATATTTATGTACTTACAGAGCCCCAGTGAGAATACAAAACTAAGTTTTAAACCTTAGATCTAGTGTCCTAATGACCCATGTGTTGAATGTCAATGCATTTTTTGTACAGAAATTGTATTACTCGATTCGTTATATCATGGTCAGCAGCTATGAGTTTTCAATACCTTCCTGGATGCTGGACTGTTAGCACAGTTCTAAATCGTAAGCTGTATATTGATAGTAAAATATTTTCGACTAGAAAATGCGGTTGAAGGACCGATCGATCGAGCGCGATCAGAAATGCGGACTGCACGAATTTTCGAAAAATCGATGTGGTTTTACAGTAATATTGTTTATTTTATGCATTGAGAGAGTATACCCTCCTCCCCAAGAGCGATTCCAAAGCTGGAGAGCAACATGAAAAAATCAAAATCAATAAAAAATAATGACGATCAATACAGTGGTGGCCTACAGCCCCCCAAAAATGTCCTACCTCAATTTTAATATTAAACGCATCGAAAAGTGATTTAGGTTCAGGGCTCTTTTTGAATGTATATCGTAGAATTATGCTACTCTAGCAGCCCAGAAAGCAGTTTTGCGGGTGTGCCTCGGAACATAGTTTTTCAACCCGTAGGGCACTTTACATGGTGTATGTACGTATACAAAAAAATCATAATTTTGCAAAATCGAGTTGGGTCTAGGATTTTTTCCGATAACTCGTTGCTATTTATTATATTCCCCACCAAGCGGCTTACCCCAATGAAGTCCGGAAGGCAAGTAGTACATCTTTTCACGATACAACATATGATATCATTCACTGTACACTGGGCACCTACTGTATTATGTATTGTCAATAAAATAAAGGAAAAATAGCAGTTGCTCTAAAAATTTTAATACCACACACAATTTCAACCATAAAGTAATATATAATCTCGAACAATTTTTACTAGATGAGATTACCTAATAAGGGTTGATGATAGACATTCCATTCAAGGTCGAATTATGGTAATGTTTGCGGACGTATCATTCATACCTAAGCTGTTATGGTAGGTACCTGCGTCGACTGTTTTTTTCCGAGGGATTCCAATGGTGTTTGATCGAATTCTGATCGAAGTGCGGGTAAGGGACTATCGGACTTCGTTAGGGAAAACCGCTTAGTGGGTCATTCTAATATGATAACTAACCACGAAAAAATCCTGGACCATACTCGATTTGGGAAAATTACGATTTATTTTTAATATACAGCGTGCAAGGTACACTAGCAGCTGAAAAACCGCATCGGAAACGTTGCTTTGTGAGCTGCTAGAGAAAGTAGTTGAAGAACTGGATAGATCGTGTGTGATCGAAAACGGTAAAAATGCAGAAAGGGGGGGGGGCAAAAGCGGCACGGGAAAGCGAGACCATTTTTTTCTTGCTCTTCAATATATAGTTGGGTATCACATAAGATAGTAAACCAATCCTGGGGCCCTGACCCCATTTTCTAGTAAACACAGTAAGGGCCCCAGGATATGCTTACTACCTTATGTGATGGCCGAAAATACTGGTCTGACGTTTCTGAGGTCATGATTTTGTTAGGCGACTTATTACCATTTTAGCATGCTGAATTCAAAAAAGGTGCAATTTTGCTCGATCAGGTCAAGTTTTCATTCTATCGTAAAAAATAGATTTAATTTATCAATGATAAAAGTTACAGGATATATCGCAATTGCTGGCAACGTCGCGGGAACAGTTTGCTATGATCAACTTTCTTTATTCTCCCGGTACGCACAAGTTGACACAAGTTGGCCTCAGTCGTTTTTAAGCTATGCGAACGGTAGTATGAGTATTTTTATTTGAGTGCGAACGTTACTATTTTCGTAATGAACAGAAAAAGGCGTAAGTACGACCCAGACAAGTTTTGTTATATATGTGGACAAACTACTTTACCTAATCGAAAGTCAAAGATCACGAAATTTCAAAATATTTTTGTTATTTTCAGGTTATATCTTTATTGCTTGGTTTACAAGGCGGCTATACCAAACACACCTGTTTTCTTTGCCTATGGGACAGCCGACCTGATAGAGGCCACTATGTAAGACGTGACTTTATACTAAGGCCTGGTTTAGAACCTGGCTCACATAACGTTCTAGCACATCCTTTAGTGGACCCAAAGAAAGTACTACTTCCCCCATTGCTCATTTAACTGGGGTTATGAAAAAGTTTTGTCGAGGCTCTCAACAAGGAAGGTCGTGCTTTCAGTTTTATTAGTCAAAAGTTTCCAAATATCAGTAATGCCAAACTGAAAGCTGGAATTTTTGACGGTCCTCAATTCCGAGAACTGATGAAGGACAAGAAATTTGACCAGAATATAGATGCTAATGAAAAAAATGCGGGGATGTTACAAAGCTTTCAGTCTCTTGGTGTACGCATGTCTGTAAAAATGCATTTCTTAAGTTCGAATTTGGATTATTTTCCAGAAAATTGTGGGTATTTTAGTGAAGAACAGGGTGAACATTTTCACCAGGGCATTCGTGTAGTGGAAGAGAGATATCAGGGCCGGTGGGACGTAAATATGCTGGCAGACTACTGCTGGTGCGTAAAAACGGGTTTTCAAGAAGTCAAGCATGCGCGAAAATCTTTGAAAAAACCTTTTCTTCCATAATAATTTTTGTTATATCACTTTAAATAAATACATTTTCAATTTGTGTATTTGTGGAATTAAATTTTTAGGAAATATTCAGTGTCATATTGTTTAGCTTCTAATTTTTTTCAAAATATACGGATAGTAAAAAAACTTGAAATGATATCGAAAAATGCACTGCATTTTTAAAATCAGTACCTACATAGTATTTGCCCAAAAACGGTTACAAAAACTTTGACCTCAGACAAAAGGAATTAAAACGCAGACCAGTGAAATATATTGAAAAGCAATACCAAAAATGGTCCCGCTTTTGCCCCCCCAAAAAACTACCGAAGACGCATTATACCCATGACCATGGATCCTCTTACTCCATCCACCATCAGCGATAATAGTAATATATGGAGTGCCATCTGGCATAACATGACCTTTCTCAATTGCAACTGACTTTTATTCTTTGCCAGTAGCTTTCCTATCTTCCGCAAAAAATTCTTCCATACCTTGATGGAAATGCAAATAATATTTGAATA